ACAAAAAAGATACTAAAAAGGTAAATTATAATTTTAGTTTAATATATGTTCCCCTTGTATTGTTTATACTGTAATTTATAAATTGTTAATTGAAATTTTAGATCTCACAAGAAATACAGAGGACATCAAGTGCTGCAGTTTTCGATGTTGATTTTGATTTATTGGAAAAATGTACTAATTCAAAACTACCTATTAATAATGCTAGTAATAGCACGATTAATTTATCGAGTTCAAGTGCAAGGATTGATGATTACAATACCTCTAAAGATAATAAAAAAACGGTATTTAATTAATGCATTATTTTAATCAGAATATTACTTTAATATTTAAATAATATAAGTTAAATGTAGTTTGTAAAACTTTTTCAGGATTATAGTCCGACAAAGGAAGAATTAAAACAAATGCTTTTCAAAGCCAGGCAAGATTTAAAAGAAAGATCTTGTAAGTTTGTTGAAATTCATATAATAAAATTATGTAAGTATATTATAAAAGATACGTCAATATTTTTACTATGTAATGTATAACGTCTGTTTTACATTTATTTAGTAGTTCTAGAAGAGATTGATAAAGATTATTGTCAAAGAATAAATCCATCAGAGGATATTCGCGATTTTGAAATGGATACAGAAAACTCAGATACAAACTCTAAAATTATAAATTCTATAAAAAATGTTGATAATAATATAGAAAATTTTGAAAACGATAATAACATTGAAATAGAAGAATTTGAAGATTCAGAGACTCAATTATATGAAAAAGACTTCGAGCCGAAGGTAAATATTCTAAATAAGATTATTTATTGTATCACGTAAACATTTTAATAGAATTTTTAATAGAATTTCGTAATAATTAATAAATGCAAAATTACATTAACAAGGGAACACAACCAGTTGACGCCCTCCGATTGTAACGAGCTTTGGATATGTTAAAATATAGACAAAAATAAGGTTTATGTTCTTTTTAAGTACTGAGTCGCACGTTAAGGGGTGGTACCAACCCTTAACAAAAGAAATAGATTTTTTTCTTTTTTAGTAAATATCATCTAAACCGTCAAAAAGAGAAAAAATGTTTTAAACAAAAGTTTTACGCGATTTTAAGTGTGCTTTACAATGATGCATTTTAATTTTATATTATAAAAATATTATAAAAAAAACGTAAACTTTATTTTTGTATATATTCCGACATATTCAAAGCTCGTTACAATTGGAGGGAATCAACTGATTGTGTTACCTTGTAAGTTAAATTATGCCTTAGGTCTCGTCCGGATGGAGAAATAATTGTAGTAGTGCGCCTGAGCACGTTTAGTCAACAGAATTCAAAAAATACCACTTAAGTGGAAAAAATTCTTTTTTTTGTTTGTTTGTTTATCGGCGCCTAGCAATTCCGGCGCGCGCAGACGTAAACATCTTCGTTGTGTTTCTGTTCGCGTTAGTCAACGGATTCTTCGTGTGTCTCTTCAAGAAAATTTGTTTTTTTCTTTTGGATTCTTAGTTTCGATATGCCGAGTTTGCATCGCCGAAGTCGCTCGAGATCTAAGGCTTATCGACATCACAAGAAACGCTCCCATGTCCACAGTAGAGTTCGCGATAAGTTACGTTCTCGTTCTCGTTCTCGGGAGGTTAGCCGATCCTCTTCCAATGATCGACCACGACGAGATTCATCGAGGCCTTCCTCCATGCCTCGAGATTCAAGTCTTCTTGAGCAGATCTTGGCGATCCAAATTCAAGGCCAAAAATTATCCTTACTCAAGGGCGAGGTTAAGGAATGTTCGATGCGCTTTCCTGCTTCTCAGTCACATGAGGTGCCCACGACTCTCGAAAGTCGGAGCTCTGAACAGGCAAGCCCCCTTGTCGACCCTTTTTTCCAGTACCGCGTTATTTGCGGTTTGCGTATCGTGCTCTGTGAGAGCTTATCGAACGCTAAAAATTGGCAAAGAAGGGGCTTAACCGACGGCTCCTCTGCGACACCAATTCTTATGGCTATCTTTTTCCCCCTCCTTTTCAGCCGTAGCGTCAGATCCTATGCATCATGAGGTTATCTTCGCGCCTCCAGATGCTGAACAAGATGAGATCCCTTCGCTTGCCCGTCAGCTTTTCCATACGCAGGAAGACTCCTTGGATCGTTTTGCGTGGGATCAAATTATCCTTGATTTTGCCATTACCACTGCCCGTTCGGGACTATAGGGGAATTTACGCTCTCAATTGATGGCAAAGTTCGAGGTCAAGGATGAGCTTTCAGCGTTAGGCCCACCTAAGCTTAACAAGTTACTTCTCCCGGCTCTAAAAGCCTCTTTAACGGTTTTTAAAAGAGACGAATATCAAGTCCTGTCCCAAAGCCAGGTTGCAGCCGCTCTTAATGCTTTGGGCGCTGGTCTTTCTTGTCTCACGAAACCCGACGTATCTTCATGTCTGCCATCGGAAGGAAGGCTCGGCACTCGCCCAGATTGCTGAGGGCATACAGCTCTTAGCAGATCATCAGTACAGGTTATCTCTGGCCAAACGAGTGTTTATAAAACCGACCTTGAACTTGTTGGGGAAGTCCACAGCGAATGTAACGCCTATAGATGAATGGCTTTTTGGCGCCTCGTTCGTCAATGAAGTCAAGAATGCGCAGGCTTGTGAGAAGGTCGCTAGAGGCCTTATCAAATCTACCCCAG